TCTGTGTGTGTCTGTGTGTGTCTGTGTGTGTCTGTGTGTGTCTGTGTGTGTCTGTGTGTGTCTGTGTGTGTCTGTGTGTGTCTGTGTGCTCTCTGACCTGCTGCTGCTGGAAGGAACATTCCCCCCTTGCAACTTTTGGTTTCTCTAGGCATATCCTAGCCTGGCTTTGCTCTCTTTATGTGAGTCTTGCCCAGTGCCTGTTGTGCTGAACTGGGTGTCGCTGGAGGAGTGAAAATACTGGTCCCAGTTGTCACAGACTTCAGGAAGCCATAAGTCAACATCTCTCTCTCTCTCCTGCTCTGGATGATATTTCTATACTTGCTGACTCTTCCCTGCCCTTTAAGAAATTAAGAACACTTCTGTGAGACATTACTGATGCTTCTCAGTATCAAATAAAATTGTATTTCTGTGAATGTAAATTTCTGGAATATACCACACCTCAATTCAGTGGGTGACAGGAAGAGCGAAGCAGGGTGTAACTGTGCATGTGAAACCCTGTCTAAACATCCACTCTTTTTGTGTCCAGCTCCCTGTGTGGGCAGATAGCAGCTCAAAGCAGGAGTGTCAAACACATTCTTGCCCAGGAGAGTTTTGCTGTGGTCTTTGTGGAGGTGAGGTTGGGGTCTTGAGGTAAGGTGCTATTTTACCACTTAAAACACTGCCACCCCCTGTCACCGGCTATAGGTTATATAGAGCCTCCATGTAGTGCTTTCTCCTCTGAAAAATACTGAGTGTTCCCAGGGAGCTAATGCAGAGGCTTGTCCTCACCAAGGAGCTTGTCAGTCTTTCTGCCTGTTTCCAGTCTCTCACCAGACCATCCTAGGTCCTAATCTCTTTTCCATGCCAAGTGGGCTGCAGAAAAATCCCTGACTCTGTGTGCGCACTGCTCAGCAGTAACAAAAACACCTGTTATCAACACTGGTTTCAGCACAAATCTAAAACATAGGCCCATACCAGCCACTATGAAGAAAATTAATTCTATCCCGGATATAGTCTGGTCCTCTTATTAACTGCACTGAGAGCTAGTGAAGGTTAATATGCTCTTGGAGGAGTCTGAGCATAAAAGCTGAAACATTTGAAGCTGGTCAGAACCTGATAGGAGAGGTAAAGAGGATGATGGCAAAAGCTGCTTTATTAAATAAGTAGTTGGAGGTTCCTAGGAAAACCGCTGCCACTGTAATAAATCTAATCCTTTGGGCCTGGGAGGAAATGCCAACGTAGCCAGGACCTCTGCTGTGGTCTTAGTACAGCTGTGCTAACAGAGGCAGATGTGTTCTTGTTGGACTGGCACATAAAAGCAAGTGTTGCCCCTTCCACAGATGAGAAGAGGCTTTTCCAGCTGCCTTGACACTAGAAGACTTGCCTTGTAGTCAGGATTGACTAAGCTGTGACTGCTTTTTCTGGGATGAAGGAGGAGCTGAGCACTGATAAGTGGTCTGGGCTTGCTGGATAGAAATGAGAGCTATCAGGAAGGATTAGGTAGTGGTGATGGTGTCTGCCTGGCCTCAGTGGGTACACGACGACCTTTGTTCTCTTGCTATCATAAAGGTTTGAAATACTGTCACAGTGAAATTTCCCCTCTATCTTATGCATGGTAATTCCTCCTCCTGCAGGGATGAATCCTTCTGTGACAGCAAGATTTAAGTAGCCTCAATAGGTAAAGTACTCTTTCAAAAAGTTGGTGTTGGGCCTCCTTAGAGGCCTTGACATTTGGTCTATAGACTGTGCATTTCCCCAGACTTCCCTGAAGGATGAGGAAATAAGCAAGTTAAAGGGTATAAATGAAATAGGGAGAGCCATGCTTTGCACTCTGACAGTGTAAACCAGGTGGCTTGTTTTTCCTGGGACAATCAGTCTGAAAGCAAAAGCTTCTCACATGTGAAGAGGGTCAGACTTGGGCTGTTCTCCCCAAACCTGGCTGTGGGTTTCATGGTGAGCTGGCCTGGCAGAGCATGGATGAGCTTGGTGTGACTCCTAAGCCAGGAGCTAAACTGCTCTAAAGACCTGTGAATGGAAAAGGCTCCAGGCATTTTCCCTCAGTTCCTCTTGTGTGGTTGACTTTGGCCAGGCTCCTTGCAAGTTGCAAATGTCTTGTAGCAAGCAAGATCTGTGGTGAAATGGGAATAAGAAAGAGGTGTACTGTGCAATAACTGTATTTCCTTGCCTGTTCCTTCATTGTATGCTGAATTGAAGAAACAGTTTTGGTCTGTTTTGTTGTCTTGCTTTGGTGAGAGTAGTCCTGCATGTGGTCTTTCCTTAAAGCTACTGAGTTGCACTAAGCAAACTTGCATGTTTGAGGGCAGATGGTGGAGCTGGGAAATGGTCTGGCATATCTCTGAGATACATCTGTGTTAGGGTGCAGATGCTTGTATTTACCAGGAACCAGCTGCTTACTGCAAGGGCCTTACCCTCGGTTCTCATAAACAGGCCCTTCTTGCTGTCCTGGAGATTGCAATCATCTCCATGGTGAGAGCTGCACAAACAGAAGGGAGGATAATGACGTTGTGGATTAAAGGGCAAAAGGAGGTTTCCTAGTACATGAAGCTTGTGCTGATTGTCCTGGTTCTAGATTGAACGTCCCTGGAAGGGTAGGCTGCAAACACAGGAAGGCTCTCTGCAAAAATAGTAGGACCAGGAGGTGTGTTACCCAGCCCTGCAGTGCAGAGAAAAAAGCAGCACCTGTTTCAGGAACTAAGGTGTGGATTTGTTCATGGACCTTTGAGCATATTTGAGAGGCAGTAAGCCCATCTAATAAAAACTACTGAAATCTGCCTTTGACTGGCTCTGCTTATCTGCATTTGATGTGGTTCAAAGGGAAACGCAGGCCTGCATTATGTCCTCCTTGTTAGCTCAGAAATACAAAGACCAGCAGCATCCATAATGCCCATCTGACAAATGCGTGCAGAGCCTTACTGTCCTTGCTCTTGCCCCAGTCTAGGGGTGCTGGCCTTAAGTTCCCTTTCTTCAGTACTCAAGTACACGCGGAAAGCCTGAACTGCAACAGAGCTCCAACTCCAGGCATGCACAGCTCCTTCTGCCATTCTAGTTAGGCTGATCTCAATTTGTTTTGGAGCAGCTCCTGCCAAGGAGCTTCTTCAGACCTTTTCCATCATCTTAGTTTTTAGAGTTAGAGTGCGGCGGACGGAGGAAGCAAGCAGCCGATTCAATGTGAATGCTAGAGCAAGCTTCAACTTTATTGAAAGAAATCACACCTTATATAAGCACTCTACAATACACTACTTGCAACTCTATTGGATGCATTTAAGAAACTACATTATAATATCTCAGCCATTGGGTACATCTAAAAGGTCACATTATAATATCCCAGCCCCTTGTGGCATTTCTGGTATGCATAAACATTTTTCTTGCTTTGAACCTGCTTCCCTCTCAGGGCTGTTTTTGTCTCACCCCCAAGGTCATAATGTGCCCCAACTTATCTCTTTGTTCTCACAACAGTCCTTGTTAGCATCACTGTACGCTGGGTTTTTTCCTCTGTTTACCTCAGGTGGCTGCGACCGACTTCTGCAGGGAGCTATGGCCGACCAGCTCCTGCAGGGAGCTATGGCCTTGCTCTCTGCAAGTCGTTCTCCAACATTAGAGCTCTAGTAATGAGAGCAAGGAAGTGTAAAATCCCAAATATCCTGCTCTTCCAGCATCTGTGTCCCTTCCCTGTGCTGCTGAGGGACATTTTTGAAGGCACCTTCTGCTGACTGAAAAAACCCTTATCTCACTTGATTTTTTTTTCAGGTTCCCGGCGTGGTTGGCTTATAGCTCAGCTAGTAATGAAGGTGCCTAGAGCACCACTCCTGTTCTTGCTAGGAACACTTTTCCTCTCAGCTCCGTGTTTTTAGATGATGCCTTGCTTGAGCCTTTGACTTGTAGAAGGCCACCAGCCTTTCTTGTATTCCCAGTCTTCAGGCCATCTGTGTCTTCCTTCTCTGGCTGGACTGGGAGAACTGGGAGGTGATCTTTCCCCTCTGCTTGGTGCTGGTGGAGGCCTCACTTGGAGTGCTGTGCCCAGTTCTGGGCTTCTCAGTGCAAGAGAAACAAGGACATACTGGAGAGAAGGGCTACAGAGGGCTTGTGTTGGTGGAACTTGTGTTGAGTGCCAAAGGCTGAATCTGCTAATTCTGTATAACCAGGTAGAAAACTTGGTTAGGGACATCATAATGTGGGCTAATGAAAAGTTTGTAGGTTTTGATGGTAGAGGTGTAAAACCGTGTGTGCAGTTTCATGAGGCTGTGAATAAAGGTTGTGACAAAGCTGCCAGCCCTGTTGTTTTTGGAAGGGAATGGGGCTGCAGAAACCTGACCTATTCTTCGTAGTCTGAACAAGATGGAGCAGTGCTGGCACTGAAGCTGAGCTTGAGTCAAGCTACCTGCAGATTCCCCTTTGCTGGTGTCCTACCTTTTGCACATGCTCTCTACAGAGCAGTGGGAATGCTGCAAGGACAAATGTTCCCCGCTACCTTGTGGTAGGGTGTGGGGAAGCTGGAGCCAGGCTCCTCTTGGAGGTGTGTGGGGTTAGGATGAGAGACAATAGACAAATGTCCATGAGGGAAGTTCTGATTAGCTGTTAGGAAAAGGCTTTTCGTTGTGAGTGTGGTCAGACGCTGAAGCAGAGCCCCAGAGAGGTTGAGGTACACATCCTTGCAAGTAAATCAAAGTTGAGCTGTATAAAGCCCCCAGCAGCTGGAGCTGGCCATGCTTGGAGCAGGACACTGGGCCAGAGACCTCCAGAAGTCCCTTCCAGTCTAATACTCTCCAGTGGTAGGTAGGAGACACACAGATGGTGTGGTTCAGCTTATAGCATAAATCACAGCCTGAGGCTATGTTTGACTCCCTTTTCCTAGGCTGTCATGATAAGGAGACATTAAGGAGGTGCCTTCCTAGTTTGTCATGGGAAAGGTGCATCTTTTTGGAGATGTTCACGTGGACTGGTGCCAGGTGCTGGTTTTTGTATTTACGTATTGTGACAGGCTGCCTCTTGCATTCCTCCAGGTACAGCTACATGATTGACAACGTCATTCTGCTCATCACTGGGACTCTGCACCAGCGTTCCATCTCTGAACTGGTGCCCAAGTGCCATCCTCTGGGAAGTTTTGAGCAGATGGAAGCTGTGAACATTGCTCAGACGCCTGCAGAGCTCTACAATGCAATCCTGGTAGACACACCCCTGGGTGAGTGGAACCTTTCAAAATACCTCTCGGCTGTGTGTGGAGCAGATTTCCCTTTCTTTCCTCCTAGTCTAACTAGGTCCAACTAAGCCTAAGTTGTGGTCCAGGAAGACAAAGTGGTCAGTGATGTACAGCTGTAGCTGTACTGCCTGTGGTGGCTGGGCTTGAGTTTGGGTTTATGTCTGTCCTATGCCAGTTTCTCCTCTGGAGGACCAGCTAGCTCTCTGTGTACCTTTCAACAAATGTCCAAACCAGCACACTGGTAGTGGAGACTGCTGGGGAGTTCAGTTTGTGTGAGCCAGGCCTTGAGCTGTCATGGCAGTACAGGTGTAGTTGGATCTGATCTGCTAGTTATGTCCATTTACTAGCTCTTCTGGGAATTGTAACCTGAGTTTAGGCAGGAAGGAGAAAGTTTGAGAGGTCTTAGACAATGTGATCTTTTTAATAATTGTCCTGGGACACATGGCACATGTGCTTTCTTAGCGAAGGTCTATCACTTAATTTCCAGCGCTTTTAGTTGGGCAATTTCTTATAAGCAATTTTTTTAGGTAATTACAGAGATCTGCACATGCCTAGTCTTGTTCTGAGCCCGAAAAAATTAGGTCTAGGTTAAGGAAAGCTCTTTATATACCAGAAAACCCCTAAACAACAACTGCAAAACCTCCAGATCTCCATAAGCCTATGTAAACTCATTGTGTAGCAGGATCCTGCACTGAGATATACTGTCTCAGGGCTTGACCTGGAGGCCCATAACACTAAAATCAGGTGTCTTATGAACAGTTAGTCAGGCAGATATGTTCTTTAAAGATAAAAGGTGTAGGAAGTGGTTCTGGAGAAAATATGGAAGTTTTTTTGCAGTAGTAAGAGAGGTAGTCACAGGAGACTTGCTAGTTTAGCCTCTGTGGGCAAAAATGTAGTGAGATATGCCTGAGTCAGTGATTAATTATTCTTTTGGGGTTGGTAGGAAGAACAAAACAGTCTAAGTCATCATATTGTCTTTGATAGAAATAGTTGGGTTTGGAACTGAAAGTGCTTTTGCAAAGGCTCTGTGTAATAATGGGGCAAGTGAAGTAGCTGTCATGGAAAAATGACTTGCCAGCTAGAGCCCTGCAGAGGGAAAACATGTCTTGAGATCTTGGTTTCAAGGTAGAGCAACAGCTCAGCAGGAGAACTGAAGTTCTGCATGCAGCTGAGTTGAGCCTGCTGTAGGGATGATATATGGGAAGAAAAATCTCCTCAGGAGTAGGAGTTCCCATTTTAGGAGTAAGAGAGATCAGAGTATTTCAAACACATTAGCTCTCAGAGACCTTAAAGCTTCCAGCTCTGTATGGAATGAAAATGCCCTGTAACGCTGGTGGGATGGTACTGGAGAATGTGGCTGGCAGTTGAGGGTCTTTGCCTCTTGTGTTCATGTACATATACATGAGTCAATCTTGCCTGCTTCTGCCCTGGCTAGGCTGACTTCTGCTTCAGACCTTTGCCCTGGCTATGCCCTTGAGGCTGTGTACCATCTAGTGTGGCATTTCTTCAGCAGGAGAACATGGGGAGTAGCTGTGTTGCCTAAACAAGCAGGCATGCAGGATCCAGTTGTTTAACTTGCACTCTTTCCAGTGACCACATGCGAAGAAACAGCAGCTCTATCTCCTAAAAGTACTTGAGTAGCTACGTGGCTGGGTAGAAATGCCTAACCCCAAATGGCTTTCATAGGTTAGCAGGGCAAAATAAGACTTGCCGTTAGCCTAATTTGGGATATCGGAGGGCCAAGAACTGAAATAGCTGTGTTCTCATTCCTATGCTACTCTGAAGTAGCCACTGCTTAGTTATCTAGGCTAGCCAGTGAGTCCTGCAGTGAAAACCAGTCCTGGCACACACTGTTTTCATTTTTGCCAGCCGTAGGGAGCAGTGCTTCTCCAGCTACGTGGCACTGGTCTCTGATGCTGTCACAAAAAACCTCTGTGGGGTTAACCCCTGTTCAGGATTCTCTAGACCCACGGTGTGGCTGCTGTCCATGCCAGGGAGTTCATGCTATAAAAAAAGTGGTGCACACCAAAGGCATGAGCCTGGGTCATACCTGGTTTGTCACACGGAGCAGAACACTGGTCAGTTCTCAGCATGAGTGCAGTGTCCTTTACCCACAGCTGGACTGCATAAGCTGAGAAAGATCATATTTCTGTGTAGCAAATTCAGCAAAGCTGATTGAGTGAGAGTTGAAGTCATGAAAGTCCTGTCAATGGGTTTGACTGTGCTCTTGCTAACAAGCAAGACTGGTACAACAGCCTTACGTTACACTACCTGTACAAGACTCATTTTTATCTGCAGTACTCTCTGCTAGGTCTGAAATCTGTGTTCTTTAAGTGGCAACACCTTCTCAAACTTACTCCCAGAGATACTCTGGCAAAGTATCTCTGGGCTGAGCATCCTACCAACAACCACCACTTTATCCTGTCTCCTGTTGCTTACCTCCAGCTAGAGAAATAAAAATCCTCAGAAGTGGAAAATAGGAGTGATAGAACTGACCAGGGGAAACAGCTCCTGACTCCAACCATGGAGTGTCATAGACTGTAGGAGCTGTGGCGTCCGCATACCTTCTTAATCCAGCAGAGATATTGGAGAAGGAGGGAGAAGCACCAGCTTCCTCAGGATTCATGAGCTGCTGTCTCGCAGATGCTTAAGCACTGCTGCCATGCTGTAGCAGGCAATTCGGAAGATGTCTTGTCACCTCTGAGCACCTGCATCTGGGAACACTTTGGGTTTTGCTTATTTTTAAACACAGACTACTCTGACACTGATGCTGGGGGCTAGAGCTGAGAATTTCTGCTGACAATAGGCTGTTAAGTAAATCATAGGACTAAGGGGCAAAGAAAGATTTTCATATGAGAGCCCCAAAAAAGGTTGTGGCCTGGGGAACCATGGTGAAGCCTGAGGTTCTGAGTCACGGCAGTTTGGTGGCTGCTGAAGTTAAGGGCCAGGCCTAGGAGGGACAAGCTCAACGTAGGGTGTGCTTCTGCCTGGCATTGTTGAGGACTCTGGAAAGTGCTGGGCATGGCTGGTGGGCAATTCTAACTCTGTCTGTGGCTCTGTTTCAGCTGCTTTCTTTCAAGACTGCATATCTGAACAGGACCTGGATGAAATGAACATCGAAATAATTCGAAACACGCTGTATAAGGTAAATGAGTGTCTGGGGAGGGAAAGAGGTGTTAATTTCCCTGTTTATTTCTGGTGTGACTACAGCTCTGTCTTGGGTCAGGAGCTCCAACCCAAGCTTTCTTCAACCAAAGAACGGATATTTTCTTCTTGGAGTAGACTTAAAAATCATTTTGTTTTCTCACTCATTTTCTTCCCTGGAGTGGTGATAGAGTAAACATGACCATGAACTAGTTGCATCCATTGGAGAGTAAAGATAGTGCTCTTGGAGGGGCCAGACATCTGATCACCCAGCTCTGTAGAGTCAGGGCACCAGAGCTAGGCAGAGTGGTGCTTTTTGGAGCTGTCAGGCTGTCAAGAGTCTGTGCAAGAGATTTCACAGAAGTAATGCCTTTGAATAAATTTTCTCAGGCCCCAGGCAGACAGGAGAAGTCTGCTCCTTAACCACATGTGTTCAGTCATGTAGATAACTGCATTCAAAGGACTAAAGTGGCTAGATCTTAAACTTGGTTGAAGGACTTCCATGGGCTTGGCTCTCTGTCTTGAGCTCTTTCATTAGAGCCTCTGACAATCTGCTCAAGCCTTCAGTGACTGTGGTTGGGGTTAGATGCTTTTGGCAGAGCAGTGTAAAAGGTGCAGCCAGGATGGAGGAGTCCCGGAGGCTTTGGAGAGTATTGGCACAGGGATGTGGAGGGGCTAAAGATCTCCTTATCCTGAGCCTGCTCGGGGAGCTGTTGTCTCCTCGGCAGGCCCTGTCTGGTTTTAGCTGGCAGTATCAGAGCGTGTGTTTATGTGCAGGCTGTGGCTATCGCTCCATCTCACCTCTCTGGATTTAGGGTGGGATGCAGATTGTATCTGCCAACCTTGTTTTGACTGGTCACAGCCAGCCTGCAGTCAGTGTGACCTCTGCTTCCCAAGGAAGCTGTGGCCTGTTTGGAGAGGCAGAGAACAGCTCAGGCGTGAAGGGAAGGAGGCAAAGGGAGGGGAGAAGGAACCTGCATGTCGGCAGTCATGCCCAGCTGCACGTGGCCTCTGGCATGTACTGGTCTTTTGCTGTAACAGGGGCAGGTATGCCTGTATGCATAAGCACCTGCACCTTGCGGGGTGCAGACCTCCATGTTGAGATGAGGTGGATGGAGGAAGGCAGGGAGCAGAGTGAGCGCAGGGCAAACGGAGCAGGGGGGGCTGTGGGGGGTATCTCCTTGAGTCTCAGATGCCATGTCCTTTCTCATCTTCTTTTTGAGGCCTTATACTGCTTTGCATTCTGCTCTTCCTACTCTGAAATTGAAGCGTAGATGCCTGGTATCCCTTGGTGTGTGCTGGGACTGGTTCTTGCTAATGAACAGCTCCTGGGGAACATAAGGGCTCTATCAGTAACAAATCATGGGGATACAAGGGTGGAAAAGGAAACTGCTGCTTAACAGACTCTCACCTGAAGCCACCTCTTTCCCCAGGGACTGGAAAATGTATAATGTAATGCAAATGGTCTTCAAAGGCAAATGAGGGAAATAAAATCCAGTCTGAAATCTGCAGAGAGCTCCTCTGAGGAACACAGCAGGCGGGTGCCTGGGGTGGATGCCTGTGCTGGAGGAGTTGGCAGGGAAGGGGAAGAGCTACCTCCCAGAACTACTGGAGGTTTTCTGGAGGAATCCGTGAGCATGTAGACAGAAGGTTTGAGGAGGATTCGTAGGACAAAAGCTATTACAAAGGTTTCTTGTTAGCAGTGACAAGTGAGGAGTTTCTTGAATGGAAAAACGGTTAAGATTGGGAGCACAGGGTAAAAGTAAGTGGTCAGCTCTGCTGAAGGGCAGTCAGCAGTGGAGTCCTGCAACAGAGGCATGCTGGCATTATCTTCAGTGCTTAGTCCCTTTTTTCTACATCTTTAATGGATATCTTGAAGTGAAGCTGGCTGATGGCTGGCCTTTGCTGGTGACCTTCTTGTAGGAACCAGCTGAAGGAGCTTCGTGACTGATAATAAAATATAGCAGTGGATAAACGTGGAGTGATATATGGGAGAGGTAAGGAGCTAATCCTAACTACCTGTACAGTGAGGGTCTCTTGTTCCTTTCTGCTACTAAGTGAAATCTTGGGTTACAACTGACATAAGCAAGTGCGTCTCTACAGGGTAATCTGTTCCTAACAGTAGAACAGAACTGCACAAATATCACTGTGCTGCTGTGTGTATCTCTAGTGTGTTTGTCCTGAACACTGTCTCATTCCTGTCCTCTCTGAATATGAACAGCAGAACAGGAGAGGCTGCTAAGGAGGACCCATTTAAAGGTTTGGGTACAATGAGTTCTATGTGGGGGACTACAAAAAAAGCTTAGGATTCCTCACTTGGAAGAGGAGTGAATCCAAGCTGTGGTGGTAACCACAGATAGTGTTGGAAAAGTTGACATGGGTGGACAGGCCACAGGTCTCTCTTTAGGCTGAATGTGACAAATGAGGCTAGGAGCAGCCAGAGGGTAAACATGTGGGTTCATGAAAGTCCATTAAGGATTATTAAATCCAAAGACACCACCTTTTCTGGGATAAGGGTTTCAGGACACTGGAGAGTGTCTGTAAATTGTTGTCATCTGTGGAGGGGTCCATAGGAGAGGGTGCCCACTGTGGCTGTTTTACAGTCTGTTTTCCATTGGGTCTGTGGTACTGGATCCTCATTCAGTGCTGCTTATTTGAGTTCACCTGGCTTTGCTTCTAAAGCCTTAAGTTTGTGCATGAACTCTAAGAAGAGCAGAGGTAGTGACTGAACCTCTTACCCAGGTTCTCTCTTCTGTCAGCCTCAAGCAAAGTCCATTATCCATGTCCTTGTTCCTGTGGTAACTCTGCAGACTGCTCTGTGCTCTCCTGCACTTGACAGTGGCAGGTACTGGAGATGATGTTTCTTTGATGTGTGATGCTCACCCAGCCCCAGCAATGTCCTCTTGCACTGTGTGGTAACAAATATTTACGGAACACAGTAATCCAGGTGCTTTCCTAGTGCAGAGGCTGAGGGTGTCCAACACGTGCATTCTCGGTCCATCTTGAGTCTTGGAGTTGTTGTGACAAAGCAGAAATTTGTGATGTCTCAGCATCATTTTATTCAATCCCTTTTAAGTGATACTGGTTGCAGCTCTCTGTCCAGGGAGGTATTTTATCACATGATGACTTAGAAAGTTTTTTGCTGAACAGCACTTTTAGCCATGCACAGCCTTCACAGGCTCCCTCTGGGAGATACAGTCATCTTCCAGCTGGATTACGGTACATCTCCACAAAGGATTACGTTTCCTGGAGGCAGCATAGCTGTGCCCAGCCTTATATGTTTTCTGCAGTGCTCCAGTTGGGGTGGAGACCAAGCGGCCACAGTGTGAAAAGAGAATTACAGAGCATGGCTAGCTTCCTTCACAGATGTCCTGTCTCATCTCTTGACTCTGCTTACACAGCGGTACTTTCTGAGCGTAGGTCTTGCAGCTATAGTTGTGTGGCTTGGCATGTTTGTGGAGGCCAGAGCGGGGTCAGGAAACCACGTAAGACTTCAGTAAATGCTTTGGAGTTAGACAGCTCAAAAAGGAGCAAAACAGGCTTTTAACCTTGCTGCCTGAGGATCTTGCAATAAGCTCATGCAGTCACTCGAACAAACCCAACCACAGCCCTTCATGTCTCCAGCTCCTAGGGAAGCGCTGTCCCTTGTGTGGGCTTGGCATCCAAGTTCACATGGGGTGAGAGTGCCTGTGCTGTATTACAAAGCGTCTGGGAGTGTCCCTGCTTGCTGCCTGTCCTCTGCTGAATGGCCCTGTGGGGCAGAATGTGAAGCTGTGTAGAAGCATGCTCACCTGCCCTCTTTCTTCCAGGCTTACCTGGAGTCCTTCTACAAGTTCTGCAAGGTGCTGGGAGGTACCACGGCAGATGCCATGTGCCCCATTCTGGAGGTAGGTCTGGACACCCCCATAGCTGGACAGTATTGCAGAGATAGTCACTGCTCTGTGCTCAGGGCCAGCTTGCTTGCCAGCATTAAGAATCCTCAAGATATTCTTTAGCATCCCCATGCACACTCTGCCTGCTCACTGGGACACCTCAGAAAACTGCACATAACTTTGGACAGGCTTGGTTCCCTAGGCCTGATCTTGCCAGGTGCTGACACATCTGTGGCAACATCTGCATCCTCTCACATGGGTAAGGAGAACAACCAGAGCTGTTCAGTGCACAGCCTGTCTCCAGGCCAAGGCTAGCTGTGGGGTGTGCAGGGCTCAGGGGCACTAAGTGCCCCTTGAGCTAGGCAGAGTTCTGCTTAGTAATTTGGCTTGTGCCTGGGATGGGGAATTTCCTCACCTGACTGCTCCCCAGGCATCAGCTACTGGGCATACTGGGAGCCTGCACACACAGCTCTGGCTGAGCACTGGATAGCTTTATTGCCTCGCAGGCAGCCTGCTCCTGCTGCCCTCTGATGCGGCTCTGTTCAGAGCAGCGTTGGTTCTTGCTGACCTCTGGCAAAGATGCTGCATCCCAAAGTAAACTGCTCTTCTCCCACAGTTTGAAGCAGACCGGCGGGCCTTCATTATCACCATTAACTCCTTCGGTACTGAGCTGTCCAAGGAGGACCGAGCAAAGCTGTTCCCGCACTGTGGCAAACTCTACCCTGAGGGCCTGGCCCAGCTGGCCAGAGCAGATGACTATGAACAAGTTAAAAATGTCGCTGACTACTACCCTGTGAGTGCTTTGGGGTGAGGGCTGTGGGGACTGGTGCAAGGACCTGCTCTGAATCAGAGCTGCTCAGGGATCTGGGGGAACTTGTGGATTAACAGCCTGGGGAGGGGGATACCTGTCTTCTGCTGCTGGTGTTGGTCCTGTGCTCTGCTTGGCTGAGATGGTGTTGGGTTGCCTGGGATGCTGTTGGCTTATTAGTCAATTAGTCATGGATGATTGCAGTGGTGACAGGGAGACCAGACATGCCCTGTGTCTTTCTCCGGGATGTGGGGCTGCCCTCACCACCAAACCCTTGAGGTATCAGTGTGGTGGCAATGACAGTCTCTCTTTGTTGATCGGAGGTGGAAACGTGTCCAGTGAGATGTGGTGTGCTGCATCTTCAGCCCTAGTGGGTCACCCTGAGCTCTGGTTCACTCACAGGGGAGACACTGACCTAGAAGGACACGTTTGGATGTGTCTGCATTCCTTAAGCTGCTCTTGTGTGTGGCTGGGGACCTGTTTGGAGTCTGAGAGCTCAGTGTCCCCTTACTGAAGCAGCCAGGGCATGTGCCAGTGTTTGTGGGGATAGGGGCCTGTGCATGGAGGGTTCTGTACCTGAATGCATCCTCCCTGCAGGCTCAAAGTGACAAATACGACTTTGAGAACTGCACATTTCACAGAAGGGGTAGGATTTCTGGCTGTACAAGCTCACTGATGAAATAAAGGCTTTCTCTGCCTTTCTGGGGATTGCCTTCCACTGGTGTGTGCAGTGCAGCCTCAGCAGCATCCCATTGCCAATGTTCCTATGTGCACAGGGCAGACTCTTGGCTTTTCTGTGTCCTATGCTGACTTGATGTGGTGGCTGGGGTCTCTGATGCATGGGGCTCCCCAACACTGCTGAACTTTGGGGGCTTTGGGGTTTGGGTGTATCCTCTTGTAATGTCTTCCTGCAGGAGTACAAGCTGCTATTTGAAGGGGCTGGCAGCAACCCTGGAGACAAGACCCTTGAAGACAGGTTCTTTGAACATGAGGTGAGTGAGCCCTGTGACACTTCTCAGCACGTGCCTACCTGTGCCATTTGCAAAGCTCAGGGTAGCAGCAAGCTCGTCTGCTGCCCTGTCAGCAGTGCTGTGGGTGAACAGTTTGGGGGAAGGAAAGGGCTGCTAGCCCTCTGCTCCAGTGAAGGAATGCTGTCTGTGTTCTCACCCCGGGCAGATTAGAGCAGCATGGGAGGCAAGTCTGGGGCTGCTGGTGGTTGTTTGGTCCATCCATAGCAAACCAGAGTGTAATTACATGGTAAAGGATTTTCACAGTACCTGAGGGTATAAATATTTCCACTTTCAAATGTGAGAGCCTGTCCCTGAGCCATGTTCTGTAGGTTAGAGCTGTCCTGAGAACCTAGAGATGTGCAGAGCAGGGTACCTGTGCTGAGCCTTCCAGCCCGCTGGGGAAGTCAGGGACCTCCCAAGCTGCTCCATGTTTCCCTTGACCAGCTCTTCCCATCCGAGGTGGGCAAGTGACATGTCCTCCTCTGGGCTTTCCCCAGGTGAAGCTGAACAAACTGGCCTTCCTCAACCAGTTCCACTTTGGAGTCTTCTACGCTTTCGTGAAGCTGAAGGAGCAGGAGTGCCGCAACATTGTGTGGATAGCAGAGTGCATTGCCCAGCGGCACAGGACCAAGATTGACAACTACATTCCCATCTTCTAACCCAGCTTGGCTCCTGTCCAACCCTCCTGCCCCTGGAGTCCAGAGGGATCCCTGTCTAACTCCCTGAGTTATCCCTTGCCCTGACTCCAGGGAGGTCCCATCTGTGGAACTGGCTCAGATGAGGAAACTGTACAGTTGCTAGTTAAATTATTCACAAGCTGAAGTTTGAGTTGTATGTGCTGAGAGAGGTCCAGAGGGACCAGTGGCACAGGCTTGGCCCTGTGCAGCAGGAGGGATGACTCCTGTTGTGTATCTTAGTCCTCGTGTTACCGTACTAACCTGCTGTATGCACTTACGCTCATAGAGAAAGCACCAGCTGGGGGGTTGCTGCCTCCCAGGGCTCTGCCATGGCTGGGGGTTCTCTCTGTCAGTGCTCTGCACACCTCCTAGTCAGTGTTGTTCCTGTGAGATTTGGTTTGTGTGATTTGTAGCGTAGCCCATGCTGCTGTGCAATCCCTGTGTCCCTCTGTAGCTAACCCTGACCTAGGAGAGGCTGAGCAGCCCTGGCTGGGACTGGGATGGAGCCTGGGGGAAGGTGAGGGCAGAGCCAGAGTGCTGGTGGAGCACACTCCTCCCTCTTCGGGCAGCGTTTGCACTCATGCAGCCTCGCTGTGTCCTCAGAAGCAGTTCTCCTCAGCCTCCTTCCTGCTCTGCACTTTGAAAGGCTTCCACAAGCTGACTGAGCTCCTTCCTTCTCCCCTGAAGAGGCATGGCTTGGACTTTACTGTTGCAGCCACGCAAGAGTCAGGGCTCCTTTTGTCTCTGTGGCTGGTGCTAGACCCCTGCAGACACATCCAGGCCAGCGCAGCCTCCTCCCCTGCGCAGGCCGTTGTGCTGTGGAGCCATATGCGCATAGCTGGGCCCTGGGCATAGCACCCTTGGGTCACCCTGAGGAGTGCAGAGAGCAGCTGTTGGCAGCGATGCCTGTCCAGGCTGTGGTTACAGGGTGGGAGCCAAGCCCTGGGTGTGGTGTGGCAGCCCTGCTCACTGCTGCTGTGTCTGGGCTAGCTCCCACTTGCCCTCGAGCCTTGGGAGCTGCCCCGGGATGGCAGGGAAACCTCACTGGTAGGAAACACGTGCTCGGTGCTGCTGCTGGGAGGGTGGCTCTGTCCCAGCTTGTGCTGTGGTCACTTCTGCAGTGTTTGTAACCCTGTGATCCCCTCTCTACACCAATAAATATCTGCCTACTGCACTGTGTGCTCCCTGCTTACTTGGGCACTGAGGAGGAGCCTCCATCAGCCCCAGGGCCTCTTACCAAGGGAATCTCATAGTTATGGTAGTGAGGCTGGTGCCACTCCTGCATGACTTGGGACACTTGTTTCTCCTGCAGGAAGGGTGGTTGTACCACCCCAGGGGGCCCTGGGCGCTCACTCCAGCCCAAGCTGGTGCCTGGCCTGTGGGTGTAGGGGGGTGCTGAGCTGAGGGGTGCCTGGGAGGTGCAGCCTTGTCCCCCTCTGCCTGGCCTTCCACCCCTTCCATCCTCACCCTCGCAGGGCCATGCGGTTAGAGCAAAAGCAGGCATTTAGGGTAGGGGTGGGAAGGGGCAGGGAGCAGGTGCAAGCTCTTCCCAGCAGGCTCATCCCTTCTCTGAGGCTGCCCCATGCCAGGCTCCTGCCACAGTGCTGGGTGACCTAGTGCAGCTCAGCCTGTGGGCAGGGCATCCCTGGCCAAGCCTCGCAGTGCTGCACCACCAAAGGATACTGCCAGAGCCCAGTGGCATATCAAGAACAGATTTATTTAAAAAGTGACAATCGTGTAGTTCATCTCGTGAAGAGCCCTGCAGCACTGGCCCCTGCACCTGCTGGGAGCATGTGGAGTGTGTAATGGAACAGCAGGGAGGCAGGGGAGTGGCCACAGGCTCCCAGGCTGGACCTAGCCAAGAGGTGGTGGAGACAAACGCAGCTCCGACAGCAGTGAGGAAGATGTCAGGTGGCTGAGAAATGCCTGAGGTACATCCAAGCCCGTGGTGCAAAGCCGCTGAGTCAGGCAGGGGTGGCCCCCTTGGAGGATGCACGTTTAGAAAAAATACAAAAACAACGTCTCTAGAAAATGTTGATTCTTGCACAATAGAAAATAGATCTGCCTGATTTTGGAAAGCAATTTGGTTTTTAACGTCTAGTGCTGATTGTTCCCCCGCGGTGCAGGAGGGCGATGCCGGCGACTGCGCACGCGCTCGGGGGCTGGTGTGCCTGGAAATCCCGGGAGAAAGCTCGCTCCTGCCCCGCGACCGCATGCGGGCCGAGGTCAGGCCTTCTTCCCATCCATGTGGTGCTCTCGCCGCAGTGCTCGGGGCAGCTTGGGGTTGATGAAGAATCCTTTCAAGAACAAGTCTCGGACAAAGTAGGGCAGGTAACGGTGTATGAAATACATGAGCCCAAGGCCCTGCCCTGGGTAGTAGCGCACGGCTGGGTTGGCAGCCAGGAGCCCGTCCGTGATGCTGTTCACCACCGCGCTGAGGTCCTCCACCGCCACCTTCATGAACTGGATGAACTGGCGGTTGATCTCCTCCACGTAGTCCTCGCCATAGGCCTGGAGCAGCTCCTGGGGCAGGCTGGCCACCAGCTGCTGCTTCTGCAGGTTCCAGAAGGCAGGGTCACACGTTGTCCCTGCAAGGACATGGTCCCTGATGTGAGCTGCGTACTGCCCCC